GAGAGCACCAGGCTGGCACACAGGAGACCCGGCCCCGCCTGGCCCTGCCCGACCCTCTGTCGTGCCCTGGGAACCCTGGACCCCCCAGCCACCATGGCACAGGGGCACACGCTGAAGGGAAACTTGCTTCCCCATGCCCCCCGGCCTCCGGGAGCTGGTCCCCATCCCACCACCCACTGCTGGGGGGCGCTGCCTGCCGGGGGGACGTGGCCCTGGGGCGGGTTTGGGGGCGGCCAGGTACTCTGCTGGGGGGGGGCACAGAACCCTTCCCCCCACGTTCTCCCAGGCTGGCTCAGGAGGGAGACCCCAGACACCGGCTGGGTGGGGGGAGCTGGGCCCCCGCTCAGACCCCCCAGGACCAGCCCGTGGCTCTGGGCCCCGGGCAAACAGCAGCTGGGCGGTAGGTCCGGCGGCCTGGAGCCGCCCCTGTTCTGTGTCCTGCCTGCCCCAGCCCCGGCTGCCCCGGCCCCCGGCCCCTGGCACTCACATGGGCCCAGCCTGGCCCAGCCCTGGGCCCAGCAGCAGCAGCCCCCTGAGGAGGCACAGAGCCCGGGTGCCCATGCTGCGAGCCAGGGGGGCTGGAGTGGGGGGCAGCGCTGGGCACGGCCTCTTTATCTGGCTGAGCCAAGAGGGCTGCCCTGGAGGGGGCAGCGAGTTAATGGCCAACCCAGGGGGACGGACTGTCAGGAAGGCCAGAGGTTTCCCGTAAGTGCCAGGCTGGGTCGGCCTCCCTGGGCTGGGGCCAGGCTGATTCTGAGATACCCTGGTGCCACTTCCGGGTGGGGGGATGGAGCCGGGTGAGGGGTCCCCCGTGTCAGGGTGACTGCAGGGGGGGGCTCTGCCCAGCACACGGCCTCTCTCTGCCCCTGGGCGTCCCCCCTTCTCTCTCCAGAACAAAGTCCCCTGCTGGGGAGGCATCCCCTTGGCTCTGCCCCTCATAGAATCATAGAATATCAGGGTTGGAAGGGACCTCAGGAGGTCGACTAGTCCAACCCCCTGCTCAAAGCAGGGCCAATCCCCAATTAAATCATCCCAGCCAGGGCTTTGTCAAGCCTGACCTTAAAAACTTCTAAGGAAGGAGATTCTACCACCTCCCTAGGTAACCCATTCCAGTGTTTCACCACCCTCCTAGTGAAAAAGTTTTTCCTAATATCCAACCTAAACCTCCCCCACTGCAACTTGAGACCATTACTCCTTGTCCTGTCCTCTTCTACCACTGAGAACAGTCTAGAAGCATCCTCTCTGGAACCACCTCTCAGGTAGTTGAAAGCAGCTATCAAATCCCCCCTCATTCTTCTCTTCTGCAGGCTAAACAATCCCAGCTCCCTCAGCCTCTCCTCATAACTCATGTGTTCTAGACCCCTAATCATTTTTGTTGCCCTTCGCTGGACTCTCTCCAATTTATCCACATCCTTCTTGTAGTGTGGGGCCCAAAACTGGACACAGTACTCCAGATGAGGCCTCACCAATGTCGAATAGAGCTGGCCCTCCAGAGCTGGCAGCCTCTCCTCAGCCACAGTGGCCTGGCAAGCTCCCCACACCCACCTCCTCCCCCAGCTGTGCCCCCCAGGCAGAGGAAGCTCTGTCTGCTGGGCACGTCCTAGCTGAGCGAGGCCCTGGCTCTCCGGGGGAGGCCGGCTGTGTCCCCAGCTCGTGAGAGCGGGTGCTCTCCTAATGCCCCAGCGCCCGGCGTCCCTGTCTCCGAGCACAGAGAAAGAGGGACCAAGCCCTTGTGGCTGCAGCGAGAAGCTGAACCCAGGGCCCTGCCAGGCGCCGCGGGGCGAAGCAGCTCAACCCGGGGTGGTTATTGGTAAAAAGCTCTTGGGTTTCCGGGGCTGGCGCCTGGCCTCCGAACTGCCTCCTCCCCCATCCAATCTGCCCCATAATCACCCGCCCCACCTGCCCATCGGGGGTCAACGACCCCACCCCTGCGGCCGAGGAGAGGAACCCGCTGCAGGTAAGAACCAAACGGTGCCCAGACCCACTTCCCAGCTGGCTCGCGGGGCAGGGACCATGGCTCCAGGAGCTCCGGGCATGGCGGGGCCAGACTGGGGCTGGAAGGTGCTTTGAACCCGGATGTCCCTGCAACGTTCCCAGAGCAACCACCTCCCAGGTCCTTTGGGTACTGGAGCAGGGCAGCACCCTGTCCCTGGTGCCTGGCCATTCCCCGGCTGGCCCCATTGCCCCAGGGCACGGTGCCGCTGCAGAATCACACTCACCTCGAGGGCTTTCGGCGTTATTGGCTAGCCAGCAAACAAGCAAAGAGGCTACACGCAAAGCATCCGTCCATCATGGAGCAGAGCTGCCACCCTCGCTGAGCGGACCTGTTTCCAGCCCCAGACCCAGTGAGGCTTCGTCCCCCGGCAGAGCCGGCCAGATCCCAGCTGGCATAAACTGCCGCAGCTGCATTGATGGGGCTGCACCCCTTCGTGCCAGCCGTGGTTCGGCCCCACAGCTTCAGCCCCTCGTCCCAGTAGAGGCTGCATCCCTGAGATCCACACTCACCACGTGGCCCCTGAGGAGTCATGATTGTCCTTGTTCCTTCGGCCAGGGCCATAGGGGGTGTCGCCCCTGACGGAGCTGGGGTGATTGGCAGCCACCATGGCTCTGGCCTTTGGTTCCCGTTCTGGCTGGATGAGGTCCAGTGGAGCCAGCAGGATTAACTGAGCGCATTGGTTCCATGCAAACAGAATAAAGTCCAAAGCAAAGTATCGGTGCTTGGCAAGGGCCAGTCCCACTGAGCTGGAAAAACAATTCTGAACCAAATTCACTGGGAGAAAGAATTGAAATGGAAAAATTGGGAACTTCTTAAGAACAGGAGGACTTGTGGCACCTTAGAGACGAATCAATTTATTTGAACATAAGCTTTCGTGAGCTACAGCTCACTGCATCGGATGCATGCAGTGGAAGCTTATGCTCAAATAAATTGGTTCGTCTCTAAGGTGCCACAAGTCCTCCTGTTCTTTTTGCGAATACAGACTAACATGGCTGCTCCTCTGAAACCTGTCTTAAGAACATGTTAGTAGATGCCCAGAAATCCACAGTCAAGAAAGCAGGCCACTCTGGTTAAAAAAAACCAACCTGGCTTAGAGGGGACATGAAAGTGGCTATTAAAAATCATATATAACAAACGGAAATAAGGGGAAGTTGATGGTAATTAATATAAATTAGATGCACACTGGAAAACATAATCCCAACTATACCTATAAAATGATGGGGTCTAAATTAGCTGTTATCACTCGAGAAAGAGATCTTGCAGGCCTTGTGGAGAGTTCTCTGAAAACATCCGCTCAATGTGCAGCGGCCGTCAAAAAAGCGACCAGAATGTGGGGAATCATTCAGAAAGGGAGAGATCATAAGACAGAAAATGTCACATTGCCTCTATAGAAATCCATGGGACGCCCACATCTTGAATACTGCGTGCAGATGTGGTCGCCCCATCTCACAAAATAAATATTGGAATTGGAAAAGGTTCAGAAAAGGGCCATAAAAATGATGAGGGGGATGGAACGGCTTCCGTATGAGGAGAGATTAATAAGCCTGGGACTTTTCAGTTTGGAAAAGAGACGACTAAGGGGGGATACGATAGAGGTCTATAAACTCATGACTGATGTGGAGAAACTAAATAAGTTAAATAAGTTACTCCTTCTCATAACACAAGAACTAAGGGTCACCCAATGAAATTAACAGGCAGCAGGTTTAAAACAAACACAAGGAAGTATTTCTTCACACACTGCACAGTCAACCTGTGGAACTCCTTGCCAGAGGATGTTGCGAAGGCCCAGACTATAACAGGGTTCAAAAAAGAACTCGATAAGTTCATGGAGGACAGGTCCATCAATGGCTATTAGCCAGGCTGGGCAGGGACGGTGTCCCTAGTCTCTGTTTGCCAGAGGCTGGGAACGAGCGACAGGGGAGGGATCACTGGGCGATTCCCTGTTCTGCTCATTCCCTCGGGGGGCCCTGGCCGCTGTTGACAGACAGGACGCTGGGCTGGAGGGACCCTTGCTCTGACCCCAGTGGAAAGGGGGGAACGTACCCCGGGGGGGTTCTCCGCTCCTGCCCACTCGCGTCATTAACGAGCCCCCCCGAGTTCTGGGTTCTTGCGCCCTGAAAAGCTCCTGCCAACACGTCGCCGCAGTTTCGCCTTTCGCCCACCAGAGGGTGCAGCGTTGCAAGGCGCGCAGCAGCTTCCAGCAGGAAATAATTTCTGCAGTTCCGCCTTTTGCCCACGAGAGGCCGCTGTGGCAACAGAACACAGCAGCCGCTCCCAGCCCGCCAGCGGGTCAGGTCAGGGGACCGGGGCTATGGAGAGACCGACAGCGTGGGGTGCTGGGGTGGGTGTCAGGCGGGGGCTCCTAAGGGCTCCTGCGGTAGGACAGACTGGGGCAGGGGCTGAATGGGAGTGGTGCACAGGGCCACAGGGGGAGGGAGATGCAGAGAAACATGACGGGGGGAGAGGGACACACGGACGGGGGGTGGCTGGGTGGGGGCTCACAGACACATGGTGATGGGGGTGCAGAGCTACATAGGGACAGAGGGGTGGCTGAGTGGGGGCACAGAGACACATGGGGACAGGGGCAGATGTGCTTGACTGAATGGGAGAGGCTAGGGATCAGCCAGGGTCTGCATGGGGGAAGTTCCCTAATAATCCCGCCCAGCCCCATAAAAAACCTGTTCCTTACTTTTCCCACCCACACCCACCAGCCCTCCAAGTTCACTCCCAGGGTCCTTCCCTGCAATTTACTTCCCTCTCCCTCAGCTCCTCCGTTCCCCCCGACTCCCCCAAGCCTTTGCACTGCTTCTGAGGGGTGCGGGAAATACGGTCCTGGATTGTCGTTTCAATGAATTATTACTCAGAGCTCTGTATTAATATGCCGAGTAAGGAATCTATTTGTCAAGAAGTATTTCCTGAGTCTTTTGTTGTTGTCTGTATTGTTACAGCCATACTTGCTGGCAAGCATTCTAAAATGCATGGCCAAAAATAATGGAAACTGGTGTGATTATCGTGTATTATTTTGATAAATGAAACATGCAGAAGTTTAAAATACTGTGTACAGAATTTTTAAGTTTCTTAGTGCAGAATTCCACCAGGAGCGAACTGTCAATAATGGTGTAGAAAAGGCACTAAATAGTTCCATTCTAAAGTTGGAAAAAAGCCAGAAGATACCAGCCATATCACAGGATAAAACCCTCCCCATTCCAACAGGAACTCGAGCAGCAGGTCAAGATAACTTGCATCCAAGGGCAGGTCTTGGGTGGGTAGTGGTCAATCTATCAGGGATCGATTTACCAAGTCTCCTCTAGACGCTATAAATCGATCCCCGAATGCGCTCCCCGTCTCCAGCCAGGTAAGTGGACCTAAGATATGCCTACTTCAGCTCTGCTATTCAGGTAGCTGGAGGGGGGTGTCTTAGGTCGACACCCCCCTCCAGTGTAGACCAGGGCCAAGAGTTTTCAAAGAGCTGGCTGAGGAGGTTGCTGGATCATTAATGTTGCTTTTCAATAAGTCCTGGAGCACTGGGGAAGTTCCAGAAGACGGAAAGGAAGCAAACGTTGGGCCAATGTTTAACAAGTGTAAATGGGACAATCGGGATAATTATAGGCATGTCAGCATGACATTGATCCTGGGCAAAATTCTTGTGTGGCTGATCTGGGACTGGATTAATAAAGAATTAATGAATTAGGGCCATTGACCATGGGTTTATGGAAAATAGATCCTGTCAAACTAACTTGATGCCTTTTTTGATTCGATTACAAGTTCGGCTGACAAAGGTAATAGTATGAGGGGGGTCGCCGTGTTAGTCTGGATCTCTACCAGCGGCAAAGTGTCCCGTGGCACCTTATAGACTAACAGATGTATTGGAGCGTAAGCTTTCGTGGGTGAATACCCACCTCGTCGGATGCCTGTGAAGGTAACAGTGTTGACCTAATATTAAGGCGTTTGACTTGCTGTCACCTGGCATTTTGATTAAAAAGAGACCGATGGCCCACATGAACTGCATTACAAACCGGCTAACCGAAAGGTCTCCAAAGGTAACTGCAAATGGGGGATCGTCAGCCAGTGGGTGTTTCCAGGGCGTCCCGCAGGGAGCGGTTCTTGGCCCTACACTATTTAACAGCTGTGTCATGACCTGGAAGAAAACATAAAATCACTGATTGAGTTTGCCGAACACATACAAATGGAGGGGTGGTAAATACTGGGGGAGGACCGGTCGCTGATCCAGAGCGATCTGGACCACTTGCAAAGTGCAAGCAAACGGCATGTGTTTTAATGCAGCTGAATGGAAATGTCTACATCGAGGAGCAAAGCATGCAGGTTGCTCTTACAGGCTGGGGGGCTCTATCCCGGGCGCAGGGAGTCTGAAAATCGTTGGGGGTCACAGTGGAGAATCAGCTGAACGTGAGCTCCCCGTGCGACGCTGGGGTCAAAAGGGCTAATGAGATCCTGGGGTGCACGACCAGCGAAATCTCGGGTAGGAGCCGAGCGGCTATTTTCCCTCTGGATTTGGCACTGATGCCACCGCTGCTGGAATCCTGTGCCCAGTTCTGGGGCCATGACTCCAGAAGGAGGCTGATACATCGGCGGGCTCAGAGAAGAGCGGCGAGAAGGATTGTAGGGTTAGAAACCCTGGCCTGGAGGGACAGACTCCACGTGCTCCTCTCGATTTAATGGCGTGCAGAGTCGGTGCAGGGGGGAGCCGGTCCCAGGCTGGCAGTACCTACGTGGGGGCCAGAGATTTAATAACCGGCTCCTCAGTCCAGCAGACGTCGGTCGAGCAAGATCCAGCGGCTGGAAGTTGAGCCCAGAGAAATTCAGCCGGAAGTCCAGGGAACGCTATGAGCGGCGAAGGGAAGCCGCCGGGGCTCAGGGTCCCGGCTGGTCGGGGCGCGTGCCGGGGGGCGCGGGCTCAGGCGGGGGCGACCCTGCGACGGCAGCACCGGCAGGTCAGGCAGCTCAGGGCCCGCACGCTGAGGCGGAAGAGCGCGCCGTAGTCGAAGAGCAGGCTGTGGTAGGTGCGCACGGAGAGCTCCCCCGAGGGGTCGACGGACTTCAGCGCCGTCAGCGGCGTGTACAGCGGGTTGGTCAGCGTGTGGAACGGGGGGCGAGCCGCGCCGATCACCTGCACCACGGCCTGCCGGGAGAGGGGGGTCAGCACCCCGTCCGTCCGTCCGTCCTGCACGGCTCGCCCGCCCTGTCCGTCTGTCTGCCTGTCCGCACGGCTCGCCCGCCCCGTCCGTCCGTCCACACGACTCGCTCGCCCTGTCCGTCTGTCTGCCTGTCCGCACGGCTCGCCCGCCCCGTCCATCCGTCCGTCCGTCCGCATGGCTCGCCTGCCCCGTCCGTCCTCACGGCTCGCCCGCCCCGTCCGTCTCTCCGTCCGTCTGCATGGCTCGCCTGCCCCCTCTGTCTGTCCTGACGGCTCGCTCACCTCGTCCGTCTGTCAGTTCGTCCGCACGGCTTGCCTGCCCCGTCTGCCCCTGCCCACCCACACCCCAGATGTCCCACCCTCGCGTGCCCCCAGTGGCTGGAAGCGGTATTGCAATAGTCGTGCCTCACTTTCCCCTGTGTCTTCTCCAGCTCATTCAGGCTGTAGGAGCTTCGGGGCCCTGCGGCCAGGCCACGGCAGAGCCCGGAGCCCGGCACTGAGCCCGCGACCGACTCTCCCACCCGCCTGGCTCAGTTGCCCACCCGGCCGCTGCAGGCAGCCCCCCAGCTGCCCCGAGCTGTCCCCGCCCTGAGCCCAGCTACTGGGCTTCCCCGCCCCCACCCAGGGACCAGCACGAGCCCCCCCCACCCAGGCCATCCGGCCCCTTGCTCCCCACAGCGGGACGACCCCCTTCAAACCCACCCCTCAACAGCCCCCACCACTGGCACCAGCCTCAGGCCGCTGGTTAACCCTTTCCAGCCCAGGCCCACGCACTGCCCCATCCGCCTGCTCCCCACTTACACCCCATTTCTGTCTGTCTGCCCTCCTCGTACGTCTCTTCCAGCCATCCCCCACTCGTACTCCTTGCCCTGCGTCGCTCTGTCCCCCCGGCACCCATCTGTGACGAAGCGGGACTGTTCTTAATGTTTCCTCTAAATAGTGTGGGGGTGCCTCAGTTTCCCCTAGGCAGTTCTTAAGTATCTAGGGGGTGGGATAAGGGTGTATGGTCGTTGCAGAGCCCTAGAGGGCAGGTGTGTGCAGGGGTCTGGACACAGAGAATGGCCGACACCCTGTTTCCTGGCAACTGATGGCCTGGGCCCTTCCCCCCCTGCGAGGTGAGAGCTAAAGGGTTGGAGAACAAAGGGATCCGGTGACCTCCTGGCCCGGGAAAGGGACAAAGCCCAGAGGAGGAGGGGCTGGAGGGAGGTTCAGTTTGGGGCTGGCTGGGACATGGAGTGAAGGGCAGACGGGGTTGTCTGGCTCACTGCCCCCCAGAATGGACCCAGCTGAGGGGTCCCGTTCTCTGCACCTGTAAGCTCTGTTTTAGACCATGTTCCTGTCGTCTAATAAACCTTCTGTTTTACTGGCTGGCTGAGAGTCCCGTCTGACTGCGGAGTTGGGGTGCAGGACCCTCTGGCTTCCCCAGGACCCCGCCTGGGCGGACTCGCTGGGGGGAAGCGCACGGAGGGACAGAGGAGGCTGAATGCTCCGAGGTCAGACCCAGAAAGGTGGAAGCCGGGTGAGCTGTGTGTCCTGCAGACAGGCTGCTCCCCGAGAGGAGACTTCCCCAGAGTCCTTCCTGGCTGCATGGGGAGCAGTTCCAGAGCATCGCCCGGGGACTCCGTGACACCATCCGTCGGTCTGACCCCCCAGTACCCATCCGTTGGTCTGTCCAGGAGAGTCCCACCTCCCCAGCACTCGGTACTTCAGCTGATTCTCTAGGCTGGGTGAGGCCCAGCAGTGGGAGGCTGGGGCTGGGCGTGGCAGACACTGGCGGGGGGGCTCGGTGTGCCAGACATTGTGGGGGTCAGCCACTGCAGGGACGGGGCGTGGCAGACACTGGGGGTGTGTGGCAGACACTGGGGGGACAGGGCGTGGCAGACACTGGCGGGGGGCTCGGTGTGCCAGACATTGGGGGGGTCAGACACTGCAGGGACGGGGCGTGGCAGACACTGGTGGGGGGCTCGGTGTGCCAGATATTGGGGGGGGTCAGACACTGGGGGGACGGGCGTGGCAGCCCCTGCTCCTGGCAGTGGGTGTGGGGCTGGCCAGGGAGCCTGGGCAGCCGCGGGAGACCAGCCCCAGGCAGGGAGTTCCCCAGGTCCGTGGGGCCTGCTGTGGGGAGGGAGCCGCAGGCCGGGGGAGGTGAACCCACCTTGGCCACGTCCTCGGGGCTCTGGCCCATGGCGGAGAAGATCTCGCGGGAGGCCGGCAGGTACACCTCCTGGAAGTAGCGCAGCGTGGCTGGGTCGGTGCCGGGGAACTCGGAGCGGGACACGTCCTCCATCAGCTTCAGCTCGAAGTCCGTGTTCACCGGGCCCGGCTCCACCAGGGACACGCTGCGGGAAGCCGAGCCTCAGGGGCTGCGGGCGCTCGGCTCTGGAGCGGGGGGCCGGGGGGGGCTCCGGAGCGGGGGGCTGGGGGGGCTCCGGAGTGGGGGGCTGCGGGCGCTCGGCTCCGGAGCAGGGGGCTGGGGGGGCTCCGGAGCGGGGGGCTGGAGGGGCTCCGGAGTGGGGGGCTGCGGGCGCTCGGCTCCGGAGCGGGGGGCCGGGGGGGGCTCCGGAGCGGGGAGCTGGGGGGGCTCCGGAGTGGGGGGCTGCGGGCGCTCGGCTCTGGAGCGGGGGGCCAGGGGGCTCCGGAGCGGGGGGCTGGGGCAGGATCCAGATCGGGGGGCTCCGTGTACGTGGGCAGCCTGAGCCCCGCACCGAGCCCCCGAGGCGCATGGGAGCAGCAGGCCTGGCCCGGGGCTGGGCCCTGAGCCCTGTGCTCTGGCCTGGCCTGGGGAGCAACTGAGGGCCCCCGGCCTGACCCTGGGCACCCACCCCCCCGGGCCCCCCCGGGCCCCCGCCCACGGGCCCCCCCGGCACTCACAAGACGTGGAACTGGAGCAGCTGCACGGCCAGGCTCTCGCAGAAACCCTCCATGGCGAACTTGGAGGCGGCGTAGACGTCGTTGAACACGATGCCTGGGGAGAGGGGGGTGAACCTGGGGGGGCAGTGTGCCTGGGGGGGCCATTGGGGTCCATTAACCCACTTGCCCCCCCACCTCCCCCTGCATCCCCCCCACAGCCCCCTGCATCCCCCCCACGGCCCCCTGGCCCCCCGCCCCCTGCATCCCCCCCACGGCCCCCTGCCCCCTCCCCGGACACCCCCCGTGCCCGGCCCCCCGGGTGCTGCTGCCCCTCACCCTGCAGCCCCATGACACTGCTCATGACCACGATGTGGCCACTCCGTCGCAGCTTCATGCCGGGCAGCACGGCCTGCACCATGCGCACGGCGCCGAAGAAGTTGGTCTCGAAGACGCGTTTCATCTCCGCGATGCTGATGCTCTCGATGGGCCCGATGAGCCCCACGCCCGCGTTGTTCACTGCGGGGGAGACGCTCAGAGCCCCTGGCCCCCCCAGCCCCACATGGGCAGAGAGAGCCCTGCTGAGCCCACGGCAACGCCGCCCCCCGCGGTCCCCCAGCTCCCCACAGCCCAGCCCCCGCGCTGTCCCCCTTCCCCACAGCCCAGCGCCCCCCGCTGTCCCCCAGCTCCCCACAGCCCAGCCCCCGCGCTGTCCCCCTTCCCCACAGCCCAGCGCCCCCGCTGTCCCCCCTCCCCACAGCCCAGCCCCCCCGGCTGTCCCCCTCCCCACAGCACAGCCCCCGCGCTGTCCCCCCTCCCCACAGCCCAGCGCCCCCGCTGTCCCCCTTCCCCACAGCCCAGCGCCCCCCGCTGTCCCCCCTCCCCACAGCACAGCCCCCCAGCGGTCCCCCCAGCCCAGCGCCCCCTGCTGTCCCCCAGCTCCTCACAGCACAGCCCCCCGCTGTCCCCCCAGCTCCCCGGAGCACAGCCCCCTACTGCTCCCCCAGCTCCCCCAGGCCAGCGCCCCCGCTGTCCCCCCTCCCCACAGCACAGCCCCCCACTGTCCACCCCCCCACGGCACAGCCTCCCTGCTGCCCCCCCAGCTCCCCCTGCCCAGTGCCCCCATCCACCCACATACCGTCCCCCCAACCCCCTGCTGAGCCCCCCGCCCCCTGCAGCCCAGCGCCCCCTGCTGCCCCCCGGCGGCGCCTCACCCAGCACGTCCACCCGGCGCTCGGGGATGCCGCCCAGGCACTGGGCCACCGAGGCCTCGCTGCAGACGTCCAGGTGCCGGATGCTGAGGGTCCTGCCCAGGGCCGCGCCCGCCGCCTGCTCCAGCTTCTCCCTCTTCTGCAGGTCCCGCATGGTGGCGATGACTGGAGGGCGCAGCGGGTCTGAGGGGAGGGGGCGACACAGGGCCCAGCCAGGCCCCTGGGCTCCTCCTGCCCCCTGCCCCCCCAGCCTGGCACGGCCCCTGCCCTGCCCCCCCAGCCTGCCACTCCCCCAGCCCTGACCCCCCAACCTGGCATGGCCCCCCCTTCCCTGCCCCCCCCGCCTGGCCCCCCCGCCCTGCCCCCCAGCCTGGCACAGCCCCCCCGCCCTGCCCCCCCAGCCTGGCACGGCCCCCCTTCCCTGCCCCCCAGCCTGGCACGGCCCCCCCCTTCCCTGCCCTCCCAGCCTGGCATGGCCCCTCCTTCTGCCTTGCTACCCCAGCCTGGCACAGCCCTCCCGCCCCGCCCCCCAGCCTGGCACGGCCCCCCCTTCCCTGCCCTCCCAGCCTGGCACCCCCCACCCTGCCCCCTGCCTGGCATGGCCCCTCCTCCTGCCCTGCCACCCCAGCCTGGCACTCCCCCCACCCTGCCACCCCAGCCTGGCACAGCCCCCCCTTCCCTGCCCCCCCCAGCCTGGCACCCCTTACCCTGCCCCCCCAGCCTGGCATGGCCCCTCCTCCTGCCACCCCAGCCTGGAACAGACCCCCCTGCTCTGCCCCCCCAGCCGGGCACCAGACGGGGGAAGGGCTGGCCCAGAGCGGCGGGGTCAAGGGGCCAAGCCAGGATTCTCGATCCCTAAGAGGCTTTGGTGTCACGGTGCGTAATCCCCACGTTGCTGAGCCCTGGCATGTCTGCGGGGGTGGGCTCAGGGAGGCCTGCCCCATGCACCTGACTCTGCCCAGCCCCATTGCCCGGCACGGGGGCACAGGAACAGGGGGGCAGCCCCGGTGCAGAGGCAGCTGCCTCCACCCAGCTGGCATTTGCTGGGGCCAGGACCCGTGTTAGCGAGTGGGGCGGGGCTGGGGGGTGTTAGGGCTGCCGGGGGGGGGAGAGGGGTCACGCCCTGGCTGGGGCTGGCAGCTCAGCTGCACGGGGTCGGGGGGGAGGTGTTATGCAAGTGCCCTCCCGGCGGCCCCACAATCTGCTCACCGGGATAATCCCCGGGGGATGGTGCCAGGGAGGGGATGGGGCAGGGTTGGGCTGGAGGGGGGCACCGGGTGGGGGTGGGGCGCTGGCTGGGGGGCACCAGGCCACCCCCGCAGCTGGGCCTCACTGCAGCCCCCAATGCAAGGCCGTGCTGGGAGCCCGGGCGATGCTGGGCACAGAGGCTGCTGCTGGCCCCCCAGGGCTGGAAAAGCCCCCCCAGACTCTCCCTGCAGGGATCCCTAGTGCGGCGGGGGGGCAGCTGGAGCAGCGAATGGGCCAGCAAGGCCTGGCAGCCCCTGGGCACTGCACCCCCCACGCACCCCGTTCTGCAGCCCTGGCCCCTGTGCCCCCTGCGGCTCCCCACAGCCCCCCCCGCGCCTCGCAGCCCCTCACCCTGGAAGCGCTGCCCAGGGTCCTGTGCCAGCTGCACGGCCAGGCGGAGCCCGATGCCCGAGGAGCAGCCCGTGATGAGCACCGTCCTCGGCCCCGCGCTGCCCATGGCTGCACCGCCCGGCACCCAAAGGCTCTTATGGGATCAGACCCGGCGTCACGTGGGGCCAGGGATCAGCCAGTCCCCTGGCAGCCCTGAGCCCGGCGGGGCAGGGATGGGCGGGCTGAGGCCTGGCCCCCTCTCCCCTGCCCCTGGACCCCCAGCCCCTGCCCCCCCCGGCTCCCATACCCCTGCCCCAGCCCCCTCACCTCTTCCCCTGGCCCCCTCACCCCTCCTCTGGCCCCCCGGCCCCCCAGCCCCTCGCACCCCTCCCCATCCCAGTTCCCGGCCATGACTTTTGAGCCCCTCCCACTGTGCTCCCTGCCCCCCCCGTCCCCCGTGGGGCAGCCAAGGGCCATGAGCACCCAGAGAAGGGGGGAGCCAGGTCTCCTGAGCCTGGTTCCATGGCAACGTGTGTGGGGCTGAGATGCTGCCCCCACCGCACCCCCCTGGCTCACGTGCTGCCCACTAGAGCGAGTGAGGACACCAGCTCCCCCCGCCATGTGCTGCCCCCCCCCCAGCTCAGCCCTGGCGTTGCACGTCCAGCCGCCACCCCACCCCCCCCGTGACCCTGGGCCTGGTGTTTGGGACCCCTCGGTCCTGCCTCCTCCTTGGGCCTGGCTGCCCAGCTGTGCTGAGTTGAGCCCCCCACCTCAGCCCCTGCTCTGTCCCACTCCCCGTAGGGCTGGGAGGAGCAGAGCTCCGGGGCATGTGGGTGGGACCCCTGGGACCCCCTGCCCCCACAGGACCAGGCCAGGGGGGCGGCAAAGGGGCATCTGGGGCTGGCTGCAGAGGTCAGGCTCATGGGGGGCAATGGCAGAGGAGGGAGCCAGGACTCCTGGGTTCCATCCCTGCCTGGCTATGACCTCCAGGGGGTCCCTTCCCCTCCCAGTGCACAGGGGTGGGGGGCCAGGGAGGCCGGTCACTCTGTGCGGTGGATGTCAGCCCCTGACGTGGGAGCCCTGGGGGTGGCTGGCCAGGTGTGCAGGGGAGACTGCCCCCCCCTTCGCCAGGAATGTGGGACGTGGCACCCATGGGGCGGGCGGGAACACCCATGCAGGGCCAGAGTGGGGTGCCTCACTCCTGACCCGCAGCCCCCTGCTAGCCCAGCCCTGGGCTCCCCCCAGCTCTGCCGGTGCCCCTCACTCCCGACCCGCAGCCCCTGCTAGCCCAGCCCGGCCCCCCCCAACTCCCCCCGCACAGGGAAGCTCTCACAAGGGGGTGGAAGAGCGGGACCTGCTGGGTGGGGTGGGGGCTCTGTAACTCCCCCTGCTCCTCCAGCTCCCTCCTCGGATTGAGCCCCAGTTCCCCCGATGTGCTGGGTCGTGCGGGGGGGTCGGAGCTCCGGCCACGGCAGCCCCCCCGGAGGGGGATGGGCTTTTCCCAACTGGCCCCAGGCTGCGCTTGGCTCCCCGCTGTGTCCCCCCAGCAGAGCGGCCGGGGGCGGGTGCCCACGGTTGGGGGGCGCAGGGCCGGTGGGAACCCACAGCCCAGCCTGGCCCAGGGGACCCCGTTACTGCAGAGACGCTGTAAATATTTGCCAGGAAGCGGAGGGGGGTAAGTGGGTTCGGAGCCGAGCTGGTGACTCATGCAGTGAGGCAATGGGGCGGGGGGGAGCAACAGCAGCTGCATGGCCGGGGGCGGGACCCTGGGCTGGGCTAGCAGGGGCTGCGTGTGGGGAGTGAGGGGCACCGACAGAGCTGGGGGGCCCAGGGGCTGTGGGTCAGGAGGGAGGGGCACCAGCAGAGTCAAGGGGGCAGGGCTGGGCTAGCAGGGGGCTGCAGCAAAGCGGGGGGACCCCAGGGCTGGGCTAGCAGGGGCTGCGGGTCAGGAGTGAGGGGCACCGGCAGGGCTGGGGGGTCAGGGCTGGGCTAGCAGGGGCTGCGGGTCGGGAGTGAGGGGCACCGGCAGGGCTGGGGGCTCAGGGCTGGGCTAGCAGGGGCTGTGGGTCGGGAGTGAGGGGCACCGGCAGGGCTGGGGGGTCAGGGCTGGGCTAGCAGGGGCTGCGGGTCGGGAGTGAGGGGCACCGGCAGGGCTGGGGGGTCAGGGCTGGGCTAGCAGGGGCTGCGGGTCGGGAGTGAGGGGCACAGGCAGGGCTGGGGGGTCAGGGCTGGGCTAGCATGGGCTGCGGGTCGGGAGTGAGGGGCACAGGCAGGGCTGGGGGCTCAGGGCTGGGCTAGCAAGGGCTGTGGGTCGGGAGTGAGGGGCACCGGCAGGGTTGGGGGGTCAGGGCTGGGCTAGCAGGGGCTGCGGGTCGGGAGTGAGGGGCACCGGCAGGGCTGGGGGCTCAGGGCTGGGCTAGCAGGGGCTGCGGGTCGGGAGTGAGGGGCACCGGCAGGGCTGGGGGGTCAGGGCTGGGCTAGCAGGGGCTGTGGGTCGGGAGTGAGGGGCACAGGCAGGGCTGGGGGGTCAGGGCTGGGCTAGCAGGGGCTGCGGGTCGGGAGTGAGGGGCACAGGCAGGGCTGGGGGCTCAGGGCTGGGCTAGCAAGGGCTGCGGGTCGGGAGTGAGGGGCACCGGCAGGGTTGGGGGGTCAGGGCTGGGCTAGCAGGGGCTGCGGGTCGGGAGTGAGGGGCACCGGCAGGGCTGGGGGCTCAGGGCTGGGCTAGCAGGGGCTGCGGGTCAGGAGTGAGGGGCACCGGCAGGGCTGGGGGGTCAGGGCTGGGCTAGCAGGGGCTGCGGGTCGGGAGTGAGGGGCACCGGCAGGGCTGGGGGGTCAGGGCTGGGCTAGCAGGGGCTGTGGGTCGGGAGTGAGGGGCACCACACATCTGGCTCCTGAAGAGGGAGGGACATCATAACCCTGGGGTCCCACAGGCCACAGGATGGGCTGGGAAGGCGCGCCAGGTGCAGAGACGGGGCCAGACGGGCGCCGGACAGACAGACAGCCATGTGCCGTAGGAATGGGGGCGGCACCAGAGGCACCATTGGGGTCTGGGCTGTGGGAAGCCAGGGGGGCAGCGTGACCTGGTCAGAGCAGACCCACAGGGCAGAGGGGAGTGAGGGGCGGTGCGGGGGCTCCCTGGGCTGGTCTGTCCAGCCAGGAGAACCAGCACCACCCGCAGCTCATTGGGCCCAGCTGAGCTCGGGGGAGACCCTGACAGATAGGGGGTGGGGCAGGGGGGCAAGGTTTGGTGGGGGAGGGACAGGGGGTGTCTGGGGGAGTTAGCGCAGCATTTGGGGGGAGGTGGGTGGCTCAGCTGTGTGGGGGGAAGTGGGGGCATGGGGCTATGAGGGGAGGTGGGGGGCCAGCGGGTGTAGGAGGAGTCAGGGGATGTGGGGGGAGGTGGGTGACACAGCCTGTATGGGGGGAGGCAGGGGTGTTGGGGGGCGTGGGGGGAGGGAGGTTGCAGGCTCCATCGGCACCTGGCCTTGGGGCTGTGGGGGACGAGCAATCCCCGCCCTTGGCCACCAGAGGGCAGCTGTGTGGGGAGCCCCCCCCCCTCCGAGAGGGTCAGTGGGGAGGGGCTGGTCCCTGATGGTGGGGCGGGGGGTCAGCAGCCTGGTCCCAGCTGGGGTTGGCGGGGGGTAGGGGCGCGTGGGGGGGAGGAGGAGGGAGCCTCAGGCCCTAGCCTGGTGACGTTGCCCAGCCCCGGGGTGCAGATGGACACAAGGCGCCCACCTCGCAGAGCTGGGGGGTCTAACCCCCCAGCCCCCACCAGCCCCGGGGTCGCGGCGCTGCTGGAGCTGGGCTGGTCGGGGCCCGCGTGGCTCCTCTGTGGCCTGGCTCCCAGGTGCCGTGTTGGGGGCTCAGGCGAGGGAGATGCCAGGAGTGGGGCGCAGGACACCGGGGTTCCATCCCTGGCTCTGTCCCAGCCTCCTTGGGCCGCCATTCACCGGACACCAGGCCTGCACGGCGCGTCGCTCTCGTCCCCAGCCCCTCGGCGCTGCTCCGGGCCCCACTGTGTGCTTGGAACCAGCCCAGCCCGGCCCGGCGTCCCCCTTCGGTCTGGCCCAGCCAGAGTCCCCCTTCGGCCCGGTTCAGTGTCCCCCTTGGGCCCGGCCCAGCCCGGCTTCCCCCTTCGGCCCGGTTCAGCATCCCCCTTCGGCCTGGCCCAGCCCGGCATCCCCGTGTCGTGGAGTGTGGGGGAGTCCAGGCCCTGCACCCCTCTTCCTGGGATCCACTGAGACGCTCAGCCAGCCAGTAAAACAGAAGGTTTATTGGACAACAGGAACACAGTCCACAACAGAGCTTGTGGGTACAACCAGGACCCCTCAATCACGTCCTTCTGGGGGAGCAGGGAGCTCAGACCCCAGCCCTGGGGTTCCCTGCGTTCCTCCACCCAGCCCCAAACTGAAACTAACCCCCCCCCAGCAGGCCCCCTCCTGCAGCCTCTGTCCACATTCCCGGGCAGAGGTGTCACCTCCCCCTCCCCCTCCCGGCTCAGGTGACAGGCTCTCAGGTCTCCCCTCCCCAGGTCAACACTCCCCCCTCCCTGCTGCCTCACATCGTCACACCCCCTTCGGCCCGGCCCGGCCCGGCGTCCCCCTTTCGGCCCGGCCCGGCCCGGCGTCCCCCTTCGGCCCGGCCCGGCGTCCCCCTTCGGCCCGGCCCGGCGTCCCCCTTCGGCCCGGCCTAGCCCCGGCGTCCCCCTTCGGCCCGGCCCGGCGTCCCCCTTCGGCCCGGCCCGGCCCGGCCCGGCGTCCCCCTTCGGCCCGGCCCGGCGTCCCCCTTCGGCCCGGCCCGGCGTCCCCCTTCGGCCCGGCCCGGCCCGGCGTCCCCCTTCGGCCCGGCCCGGCCCGGCGTCCCCCTTCGGCCCGGCCCGGCGTCCCCCTTCGGCCCGGCCTAGCCCCGGCGTCCCCCTTCGGCCCGGCCCGGCGTCCCCCTTCGGCCCGGCCCGGCCCGGCGTCCCCCTTCGGCCCGCTGGCCCCGGCTGTGCTCCGCGGGGTGCTTGGAACCGGCTCGCTGCTCCTCCCCCTGCTTTGAGCCGCCCTGTCCGGGGGAACCAGCAGGGAGGGGGCCCCGTCAGGGGGTGCAGCCGCTCACCCCACGTCTCCAGGGTGCCAGGCCTGG